CCCACGTCACCCTTGATCTTGGGGCCCTTCAGGTTCAGGTCGATGTCGGGCATGGAGAACTTGGGGGCCTTGATGTTCATCTCGGGCATCTTGAACTTGGGGCCTTTGAGTTTCCCTTCGGGCCCTTCCAGGGTCACGTCTGGAGCCTCGACGTCGATTTTGGGGCCTTTCACGTCGACCTGAGGGGATTGGAGGTCGACGTCTCCTTTCAGGTGGGGCCCTTTGATGTTGAAGTCGACGTCAGGCATGGAGATTTTGGGGGCCTTGATGTGCATCTCGGGCATGGAGAATTTGGGACCTTTCACTTTCCCATCCACGCTCAGATCAGGAGTCTCCAAGTCCACGCTGGGACCCGAAATGTTGACATCGCCCTTCGGGAGGGTCACGTCCACCTCTGGTCCCTCCCCTTTAAATCCAGGCATGGAAAACTTGGGCATCTTGAATTTGGGGAGTTTGAATTTGCCCTCTGGGCTGTCGATGTGGACGTCGGGGGCAGCGATGCCGACCTCGGGACCCTTCAGTTCTCCTTCAACTCCTGGCAGTGACACGTCCACGTCCCCCTTGACTTTGGGGCCCTTCAGGTTCAGATCCAGGTCTGGCATCGAGATTTTGGGGGTCTTGATGTGCATCTCGGGCATCTTGAACTTGGGGCCTTTGACCTTTCCCTCAGGCAGCTCAATGTCCACCTCTGGACCTTCAATGTCCACCTTGGGACCGGACACATCCAGGTTTCCTGTTGGCAGGGTCACGTCCACCTCAGGGCCTTCAACTTTGGGGCCAGAAAACCCAAATTTGGGCATCTTGAACTTGGGCATCTTGATTTTGCCTTCTGGGCCGTGAATGTCCACATCAGGGGCATCAATGTCCAACTTGGGGCCCTTGATGTCCAGTTCAGGGCCCTTCAGGTCACCTTCCAGCTTTGGCACTGACACATCAACATCTCCCTTGATCTTGGGGCCCTTCAAGTTGAAGTCGACGTCGGGCATGGAGATTTTGGGGGCCTTGATGTGCATCTCAGGCATCTTGAATTTGGGGCCCTTCAGTTTTCCTTCAGGTCCTTCCAGCTCAACATCGGGAAGGTCAGCATTGACTTTGGGGCCCTTGATGTCAATGTCTGGGCCCTTCAGGTCACCCTCCAGTTTGGGAAGGGAAACATCCACGTCCCCCTTCACTTTGGGGCCCTTCAGGTTCAGGTCGATGTCGGGCATCGAGATCTTGGGGGTCTTAAAATGCATCTCAGGCATCTTGAACTTGGGGCCCTTCACCTTCCCCTCGGGCAGCTCAACGTCCACCTCTGGACCTTCAATGTCCACCTTGGGACCGGACACATCCAGGTTGCCTGTCGGCAGGGTCACGTCCACCTCGGGGCCTTCGGCCTTGACCCCGGGCATCCCAAACTTGGGCATCTTGAACTTGGGCATCTTGAACTTCCCCTCTGGGCCATGAATGTCCACATCAGGGGCCTCGATGTCAACTTTGGGGCCTTTGATGTCCAGTTCAGGGCCTTTGAGGTCACCTTCCAGCTTTGGCATTGACACGTCCACGTCTCCTTTCACCTTGGGGCCCTTCAGGTTGAAGTCGACGTCGGGCATGGAGAATTTGGGGGTCTTGATGTGCATCTCAGGCATCTTGAACTTGGGGCCCTTCACCTTCCCCTCAGGCCCTTCCAGTTCAACATCAGGAAGATCAACATCAACTTTGGGGCCTTTAATATCTATTTCAGGACCTTTAAAATCACCTTCCATCTTGGGAAGAGACACATCCACGTCTCCCTTCAATTTGGGGCCTTTCAAGTTCAGGTCAATGTCGGGCATTGAGATTTTGGGGGCCTTGATGTTCATCTCGGGCATCTTGAATTTGGGGCCCTTGATCTTCCCCTCAGGTCCTTCCAGCTCAACGTCAGGAAGGTCAACGTCGACTTTGGGGCCCTTGATGTCGATGTCTGGGGCTTTCAGGTCACCTTCCAGTTTGGGAAGGGAAACATCCACATCCCCCTTCACTTTGGGGCCCTTCAGGTTCAGATCAAAGTCTGGCATCGAGATCTTGGGGGCCTTGATGTTCATCTCGGGCATCTTGAACTTGGGGCCCTTGATCTTCCCTTCTGGACCCTCAATTTGAACATCTGGGGCAGAAACATCCAACTCAGGACCTTTAATATCCACCTTTGGCCCTTTCAGGTCACCTTCCACCTTGGGCAGGGACACATCGACATCTCCCTTCACTTTGGGGCCCTTCAGGTTCAGATCAAAGTCCGGCATCGAGATTTTGGGAGCCTTGATGTGCATCTCAGGCATTTTGAACTTGGGGCCCTTCAGTTTTCCTTCAGGTCCTTCCAGCTCAACATCAGGAAGGTCAACATCGACTTTGGGGCCCTTAATGTCGATGTCTGGGCCCTTCAGGTCACCTTCAACTTTGGGAAGGGAAACATCCACGTCCCCCTTCACTTTGGGGCCCTTCAGGTTCAGGTCGATGTCGGGCATCGAGATCTTGGGGGTCTTAAAATGCATCTCAGGCATCTTGAACTTGGGGCCCTTCACCTTCCCCTCGGGCAGCTCAACGTCCACCTCTGGACCTTCAATGTCCACCTTGGGACCGGACACATCCAGGTT